AACTGTCATTTGTTTTCTAATCTTATACATTATTAGATCTATTTTGAATTTTAAAAATCTACCTTCAGATGCGTACTCAGCGACCCCAAAAACCCAGAGATACGAAGTTTTATAAAAAATTAATAACATTTATAAATTTCGGTCACTATATTGGATCCGCCATTTTGAATTTTGAAAACCCGACATCAAATTTGTAATCAGCAACCCCAAAAACCTTCAAGTAAAAAGTTTCAAGTGAATTCGACGAACTTTTTTAAATTTGAAACGCCATATTGAATGTGAAATTTTTAATTTTAAAAATATGACTTCAGATTCGTACTCAGCGACCTTAAAAACCCCTAGATACCAAGTTTTATAAAAAATAATTAATATTTATAAATTTCGACCGCCATATTGGATCCGACATTTTGAATTTTGAAAATCTGACATCAGATTCGTAATCAGCGACCCGGAAAACCCCCAGATGCCAGGTTTCATAAAAAATTATTAATTTGTACAAGATTGTCTATCAGCTTTCATTTTAGGGTTTTTTTACCCCTAAAAGCAAAAAATGACCTGATCTAACAAAACGGCCAGACACGGGTATCTTTTTTTTGGTCCTAGTTTCTGAAAATCATTGATTTTTTCGTGTGTGAGAAATCGTGTCGGACGGTGTTATATTTTATTAAACAGTTACATTATAGAGAGTATTAAATTCACTTTGTGATAATTGTTTCAAATTGATTTCTGCTTGTTTCAATTTTGAGATTAATATTTAAATTTGGCATTGTCAATGTTTATTATTAGAATAAAATTATAAAAAGCAAATTTTTATTAATATTTAAATTAGATCAATTTTAATTATGAGTTATGTATATACAAGGTTTTTATAAATAAAAAAATACATAACATTTATAATATTTTTTTACATTTATTTAACATGAAAATCCTTACATTTTATTTTACAAAAATATTTACAATTCTTCGATTTCTGGGATCCTGTAGTGACCCCAGGGTAGAGTATCGGTACTCTCGGTAAGCAAGTACCTTTTATCGTCATATGGACTTAATGCTACTTTAACTTGTTTAACAGTTTCTATATTATGTAACCGTGACCTAATGTTGTATTGAGTTCTAGTCTGAATCTTAAAATCACGCAAGCATTCAACGTAATCGTCAAAATGAATAGACTTTTTGACGACTCCCGCTTTAATACCTTTAGCTTTCTTAACGAAATCTTCACCTTCAACGCGAATGCTATACATTTTACTCCGTAAGCCAACAAATTCGGTAACAATTTTACCATTGCACTCGTCCTTCATTAGGCCGAGAACTTTTTTGTTGATTTGCGGAATACCATACGCATTGTTTACCGGATAGTCAGATGTGTCGAACTTGTGGATGTCTTCTTTCATATCTTTATATATGTCTTGACATTTCACTACGTACACTAGACTGTCAGTGTCTGTATACAACAGTTTACATGCTTCACCATATTTCGGAAGCAGGTAACTGTAGTGAAAGTCATAGACAAACGTTTTCGAGACATCCAACACACTTAAACCCACATAAATCGGTTTATTGAGTAGGACCTCAGTCTTTCGTAATTCGATGGCCACAAGGTCTTCATCAAATATTGCACGACTGTGGAAATTGGGCCGAGAAATGAGGGCTTCGGCACCATATCTGCCAAACCAGTGTGTAACCAATTTAATGTCTACATGCTTGCGAACATTTTCCATGGTCTTACCATACACTGCGTTATTCATTAATTTGAATAAATTCTTTTCAAATTCATTTTTCGCAGTTGTTCGCATGGCAGTATTATAGTCTATATAGGGTTTCAACCATTGTGATTGGTTGAATTGGAGCACCCGATGTATTTTGACTAGTTTGAGACCGTTCCCGAAAGCCTGTTTCAATGCACGATAATGCATCACGTACTTCTCTTTAGGCAGGAGAGTTGTGAGTAATTTCTCCTGCTTAGACATTGGAGGTTTTGCATTAACTGCGCAAAACGGTATGTCTTTATGAGAATCGTGAAGGCTCTCGGGATATTCGAGATCGACTTCCAACATGTACCCGACTGAAGAGTCGTCGGGTACGTTGAAGTTAAAGGTCTCGTCTGGGTTGGCAATCCACTTGAAACCAGCGCTTGTGCCATTGCCCAATCATATAAATTATTTGCGTCAAAATACATAATATATTGGGTGTCTTGCGTAGGATCGAACTGATCCATATAGGGATTGTTCGCTTTAGCGTAACGGTTACAACACTGGCTAATACCACCTCTGATACCCGACTCAATAAACATCATCATGTCTATATCGGTTATAAGTTGCAATGTTATGCCCGTATATTTGAGCATAGCATTCCAAGTTAAACCGGAGGTAGTATAATAGTGTGCTGGATCTAACCTGTACGCGTTTAAACATTGTTCGCGAAAGTTCTCAAAGACATCGGCGAGTAATAACACGTCTGTTTTCATATAAAGGTGAACGTAATAGTTAAAGGTTTGACAATTAAATTCAGACCAGACTTTTTGCGCATGCTCATATTCACCATCGGATATACCAGCATCATAGAGAGTACTATAGAATCTCTCTTTGGCTGGTAATTCGGTGTCATCCAACTTACTTCGCGAGTCTAAATACTCGTAAGGGAAGACACCTTTTCTCGTTAATAATTTAATTTTTTCGCGATCTTTCACCGTACTGGCAAATACGGATCCAACAATTTTATATTCGTCAAGATATGACGCTAATTTTTGTAGAGATGCTGCCATGAATCTAAACGACTCAATGAAGCGTAATTTAACCACACTCCCCTTGATATTTTTCGTAAAGGACATATATTTCTCCTTGTTCAAGGGGAGGAGGTCAACTCGACCTTCAAAGCTCGTCGATACAGCATGAATTATAAAGTGTGCATCGTACCCACTTAAATTATGAAATACAATGGGTACGATTTGGCACTCATGATAATTCAAGTTGCATGATTCATGCGCAGCACCTCTGTATTTGCCAGTAAGATGACAATGATCGCGAACCTTTTTAACATTAGCTGGTATATTCTTACGGCAAATATGGCATACGCTTGCTTTCTTAAAATCAGCGATTTGCTGAGGAGTTAAGGCATCCATAGAAATAGGATTCTTAAATACGTTATCAATTTTCTCGGAAAATTGCCTTAACTCGTCAGCAAACTACTTGGCAGGATCATTTTCCTGCCTCGGACACGGTACATACACGGATCTAAAGTCATCGTAACTACATTTTACATAATAACCTATACTAAGCAATTTATGACGCTGGAAAATTTCAGTTCTACTTAAATTATCTGTATCTTCTTCAACGGAAAGAAGTAAAGTTTCACAGCGGCATAGATGATAAAAGGAACTTTCTCCTTATTATCATAATTTTTAAAGGTAATTTTACAATTTTCAGCATTCGGTAATTTTACGCTACATACATTCATACGTTTACAATTTTCATCGTGTACATTCAATCTTTCCGCTGATGAAAAATAGTGTAAACAACGATCACAACTATATTTTTTACATTTATGGTTAGTCAATTGTTTGGATACTAACCGCGATAAATTTTAATTCCAAACATACTGGAAATTCATAAAATCAATATCGTTAGAATCATTGTTTACATTATCTTCATTAACACTTTCATCTATATAATAATCTACTACATGTAACAGGTTTACATGCTGATCCCTCTTCTCTGCGGTCAGATGAAGAGGGTGAACAGAGAAATTACCATATCTTTTGGTAAGACCGTATACATTTATCGAGATATTGTTGAGCATTTCAAATTTAGGTATACTTTTCAGCGCTACAGGAAATTCAATACCATCAAAATTTAATTCATTTTCAATATCAGTGTAACTAGACACACGTTTGGGATGTGACACGTCATGTAAAGCGGAAAGTATAGCCCATTTAAAACACTTATTATGTTTTTCATTTTCTACATTAATACACGCATGTTTGGCTCTTATTTTTGGGGGTAAACTGATATATGAACTTTCACGCATGGGGTTATATTTATTAACATTAATTTCTAACTTAACTATAGACTGTAGATTCCAGCTGGACCCCTTTTCATGGAACTCCTCCACATTCCTCAGGATTGGCTGCTTCAAATTGACCTCGAACCAGTCCTCCAATAAAGTTGTGGGGAAGATGCTGTTAGATTTAGAAGAGAATGGAATTGGCTGCACTACCTCCACTTCATTCTGCACTCTTTTAAAATTAGCAGTTAAAACACCATATACGATAATGGGTCCATTTTGATTTAAGACATCTTGAATATGCTCTTGAAACAAAATGGCCGTATCGTTCAAAAACGCACCTATATCTACATGTACAATATTTAATATGACATACGTGTACAATCGGCACTCAAACGCTGACTCACACATAGCCCAACACACGCGATTATTAATAAAAAAAGAAAAAATGTACTTATATACTAATCCTTAATCTAATAACACGCAAGAAAAAAGAACCAAGCACACAAAAAAAACTTATAAAATAAAATTAAATGTCAAAACGCAAGAAAAAATACAATAAATAAAAGATCGCTCTATTACAGTTTGCTTTGCTGCGACTAAGCTGCACTAGCTGACAGAATAGAATGAGTTTCACTGCTTGCAATCCTTGTATTTATAGCTAAATATAACCGCGCACGCGCAATAGCATGGGCCTCCCCAGAATACTATTCACGCATGCGCACACATTGTAAACTCGATCATTTTAAAATTTATATATACAATAGCATATATATTTAATATTCTGAACTTTTCACGCAAGCGTAGATAGACTTACTCTTACTGCGCATGCGCAAAGAGATGAGTCGAGAAAACTTTTTTATTTTATTTTTTATTTATTTGTTTTAATTTATTTTTTTTTCTTTTTCCAAAAAGCTATGAAGCCATCGTTGTAGTCACGACCGCCGTCACCCTCACCACCACCGTCCTGGTAGTAAGAATATACCCACCGGTGGAAAGGTGATGGCGGTGGCGATGAGTGTGCCGGTAGTGGAAGCTACGACGATGGCGGCGATGATGGCGGTGGTGGCGGCGCCTCGGAATTACCACCACCGGCGACTCCATTTCAGTCACCCAGGAGTTGGGTGACTCTGGACTGGGAGTTCCCCCTTCCCCTGGTGGTGGAGTTTTGAACTAAAAAGAAAAAGAGTTAATTTCAAATTTAAATTTTGAAAATTAATTATACTTACTGCCGGTGGTGGCTCCTCATTATCTTCCCCCGCAGACAGCTCATAGAAGCCTTCATCCACCTCTAGACCCCCTTCTGCGGGGTAATTGGGGGGAGTTTCTAGAAGCTCATATTCTCTCTAAAAATATATTATATTTTATATTATATTTTATATTTTATATTATATATTATATTATATATATATTTAATGAGTAATTATTATGTACTTACATTTCTCAATTACTCCTCAATACACTGCCAGCAGTGGCACCCTTCCATTTTGCGACTGCTCTCGTGGCTCATCTAGAACAGACTATGTGGATCCACGAGAGCAGTCCGACTCTTATAGGCAGTACCCCACCACTACCGCAGGCACGGAGCGGCGCGCGCCGCCGCCGGGTAAGGGTACTACTCGCGCGGCTCCACTAGCGCGGCACCGTACACAACTAGCTCGCACGCTCGGTCGACCAGTTACCAACTATCGACCGAGCGAGAATTTTACCATGAGGTAAAGAGCGCAGCACAGTTGCTAGTAAAGTAGAAATCTGCATTACCGACCGAGCAGTTACCGACTGCAGGTACTTAGCCAAAATCAGAACCTGGCGTAGAAGCCCCTTGCTATATTACTTATATTATTGCCTTTGAAGTCAAATTTCGACAGTAATGATTTTGCAATGTCACTATAAACCAATCGATTAGTGAGTAATCAACTATCTAAAGTTGACGACGCGTTTTCTATTTCATGCGCTATGGAAAATTCAGTTTATAAAATCTGGTTCAATAATGCTATAAACGATTTAGTATCTGCAAAACGTGCAGATAATAGTGCGTATATTTCTTTCGTCTAATATGAAGAATGTGTGCAAAAAGTGGAAAATGTAAAATTGAATGATAAGAAGAATTCGGCGGTTACAAATGTTCATGACTATTATTACACTCTAGGTAGATATCTTCTGTGGCTAAAATATAAAATCAAAAAATAAAAATAAATAAATATAAAATCATATTTTGTTTCCTTAATAAATAAATTAAATTTTATTTGAAATTATATTACTTTAAAATGAATTCAATTAATATCTTTAAATTAATCCTAGGTCGACCTTGCCCAAAAATCGACATTGACCGTAACATATATAGTATATCAAAGAATACATTGTGTGCGCGTAGAGTACGCTCTGTAGGCGCATGGATTTTCCATTGTACCCCGTTTTTCGATATGTTACCTAAGTTTCCAACCAAAATAATAGTTTCCATAGCATTTTTACATCTATCCACTACAAGAATATGCAGGTTTTAGAAAATCGATTTTCTTGAAATATATGAAGTATTTTGGACTAGTTTATTTATTAACAATCTACTTATCCAAAATACTTCATATACACGAAGAAAAATGGAGGTAGAAAAAACGTGATTTAATAAATCAAACAACTGGACTATTTAACTAACTTAACTAACTGAAATATTTTCGATAACAACTGAATTATCATCTACGCTTAATATTATATCTGAGCAAAATCTCAGCGACTTGCCATGTGCTTCGTGTCTGTTAGCTAAGCTACTAGCTTGCGCATTACTTTCTCCAAGAAGACAGAAAGTTCCGAGGGACTGATAAATGTGCGCGCCACTTTGATTCTTTAACAGAACTGGACTGAGTCCTCTTCTGTGGTCCTTTTGTCGTAATGTTGTATTTGTTCCTTCGCAGTGTGACACACTTTTAACACAACATCAAATAAAATAAGGTAAATGTCCCAGTCGCTGCACAGCTAAGGTTAAATGTTTATATTTTGATGTTTTCAAAATATAAAATTGATACTATCATGGAAATAAATATATTATTTTGAAAGATAAGATATTGAATGTTTCGAATGCAATGCTGAAAAACCATTTTTATCCATTTAAAACTTGAAAAACTTATTATAAAAGAGCAAAGTCATTTGCCGTAGTGCTTGCACGGTAAAATTGTTGTTGTCCCAGTCGTGCAGTACCAGTTGCTGCACAATATTCAGGTCATAAATAATTTATTGTAATCGGATGGAACGAATTAAAATGAGGTGTGATTATCAAGAATTTTTTTAATTATTATAAATAATTAATTATTAATATTTAATTAGTTAATTATTAATTAATTATTAATTATTGTAAAAGAAGTATTAAAAATAAAAAGAAATATATATTAAACAAGTTGTAAATTCAGATGTTCATTACATGAACATTTTGCTTCCTCTTTACGATCAGCAAAAAAATTTGCTTCCTCGTGGATAAAGCATTAACATTGAAATAAACGTACAAAAATAATATAATAATAATATAAACATTTGCGTACCTATAGATTTGAGTTAAATTTAAAGAATTAATGGAAGTTTAAAAATCAAAAATTCACATTTTAGCTGAAATTTCTAAAAATTAATAAAAAATAATATATAATTTATAATTATTTACAATTATATCGGTTTGTTCCAATGCAAGGAACACAATGACTTGAATTTAAATAAATACAAAATTTTTCAGCTAAAATAAGAATTTTTTTTTAACTTTCATTAATTTATTAAATTTACCTCAAATGTATACTTTATATACAACAATCGATTCGTTTTCATGCAAAGAATACAATTATTTCATATATAAACTTCAATTTAAAAAATCACAAAATTTTATTGCCAAAATGTGAATTTTTGATTTTTTAACATTTCATTAATTCTTTAAATTTAAATTGAAATTATACTTTATATATACCAATCGATTTGCCTTGACGTAAGGAATACGGTTTTATTATATATAACCTTAAATTTTTCTATTTAAAAATTTTTTCAATTAAAAAAAATTTTTTAGAAAAAAGACAATACAATTTATTTTTTCGTATTTTTTAAAATCTTTTGGTGAGATTTGAGATATTAATATGACAAATGAGCCTACCAAATTTTATCTAAATCCATTAAAACCTGTTAAAGTTATCGTCTCAACAAAAAAGGGATCTACACACACACACACATACATCCGGACAATTGATCAGGATCTCATATAACATGTTTCTATATACAAAAAAATTTGTTTCCGCCACTTTGAAAATTTTTATAATTGAAAGGACTACAAAGCAAAATATGTATTAGGGTCTGTTGGGGTAAATTGAAATAAGGGGTAAATCGGAACAGTAGTTATATTTCAGTTAAATAAAAAATTTTTAAAATAAATACGGCCTTAAACCTTTAACCTTAGATCATCCCCAATAGGTTCTAATTATTCTCCCATTTTTCGTTTGTCAATTAGCAGCAATATTTATACAAAATTATTTCTTATAGCATAAAAAATTGAAAATCAAAGAAAACACCCTTTCACTTTCTTGACTCGCATTTGGAAAAAAATAAACTAAAAATTCATATTATTTTTTATAGTTATCTCTTATAAATAATACAACAAAAATTGACTTTGATTTTTTCATTTTGCAAATTTTAATTAAAAATAGGAGAGTGTTTTTATTTACCCCTAAAAACTGGAAATTCGGGGTAAATGGAAACAGAAATTTCAACAATATTTCTTATATTAGAGATAAAGAGAACATTGTTTCTATCAACTACACGGAAAAAAATTGTTCGTGAAACTTTCGTAAACTAGTTGTTTACTTTTAGACGGGCCCAAAGTTTGGAAATCTTTCATTAACATTTTCCAAGATTTCACGAACTTTTTTTTGTGCGCGTGCGCAGACATTGATTGTTATGAAGAGAGTGATGAACGTTCGTGAAATCTTGGAAAAAATTAATCAAAGATTTCCAAACTTTGGGACCGTCCAAAAGTGAAAAACTAGTTTACGAAAGTTTCGCGAACTATTTTTTTCCGTGTACAACACTATTTTAAGCATTATAAATATGCATTAAAAATAGTATTCATCTATATTGCATACTTCAAATTAATTTTTTCTTAAATTTTGTGAGAAATAATGACTGTTTCATATTTACCCATACACAAAAAAACGAAAAGTATTGCGATTTAAAAGAAAAAACTTACATTATTGGTGAAACTTAGCAAATCTGTTTCTATTTACCCCAACTGACCCTAATCAAATTCCTTCAAACTGGTCTCTTAAAATTGGGCCAATAAAGTAGAAAAAATGAAATAAATACTTACATTTTTACGGTTAGACAGGTTATTTTTGTTTTCAAAACGTCTGTCAAATGCACTTTCCAGCGTTTGGGACATGAAGAATAATAAACAAATACAGTCGCTGGACGCTACGTTCAGACACTATGTACACTTATTATTTTGTCGTACCAGTCGATAAACTCTTAATTTTATATTAAAATAAGAAAAAAAACAATTATCATAAATGATATGCATTTTATATAGAATTATAATGCACATAAAACTATAGCGAATATTATGTTCAGTAAGGTAATAAATATTTTATTATTCGAAACTTGAGCAATATCTAACGAAAAAAATAAAAAATGGTCACTCAAACGATGGTTTCATGAACATGTGCAAATAAATAATTTTTTTAAAGAAAATAAAAACTTCAAATTCAAGATATTTATATTCTTTAAAATCCTAAAACATTTATCTTTCTACAAAATATAATTATAAATAAAAAAATCGAAACAGATCTTATTTTTACTTAATTTATTTATAAACGTGCAGCCACTGGTACATGAGCGGCGACTGGGACATTTACCTTCTTTCTCTTTATAATTTTTCACAATATGAAATATTTTCAGAATCTATGAATGAGATAATTTCGATGGCTGTTTAAGAATGACAATAGTAGTACTGCAGTGTTTGTTTTTCGTTCAGTGTTTAATAAATAAATACAACACTGATTCAAGAACTCATATTTTAATTTTTTTTGCGTGTATGGCTCGTTGGATGCGGAATATAATTATGTCAATTTAAAATTATGTGAAGTGAGTTCTATTTCAAATGAAGTTTATGTCAAATGAATTTTCTATAAAATAAATTATATATCAAATGCAATTTTTGACAAATGAGAATTATGTCAAATGGAATTTATGTCATATACAATTTATATCAAATTAATTTTATGTCTAATTCAATTTATGTCAAATGAAATTTCAGGTTTGCTCAAGCGAATAAAAAAAAATTTTCTTCCATATATTTCCAATGTGAAGTTGTCATACAGCTTTCGTTCAACTTTACATTTTACACCACTCAATTTGAACAACTTTATTTTAAATTTTGTAAAATTGATAAATTAGTAAAATTTAAATAATTCAAAAGCAAAAAGAGAGTCACTAATCCAAATTAGATAAAAAAAATTTACTAATTTAAATTTATCCATTCTTTATGCTTTGTACCCAAGCAGATGTTACTCAATGCTTTTACTACGTATACCAGTGATCATATTTTTAAATTCTTTATTGCTTTACACTTTATAAATTTTATTTTTTTATGTATTTGTTCAATGTAGTAATAATAATATTTATTCCCTCACGAAGTTCTTCTTCAGTAATTACAAGTGGTGGAGCTATTCTGATGATTTGACCATAAGAAGGTCTGGATAATAAACCAGCGTCTCGTAATTTTAAGCAAAAATCCCAGCCGTCTGCAAAATCTACAATTAAAAAATATAATAAACGCAAAATTAGTTAAAAGGTTCAATATAATTCATTAACTTAGATAACATTTTTGAGTTATCCGTATTAATTCAAATGAAATCTAAAATTAATTCGAAAAGAAATTTATTTTCGTAATCTGGTTTTTGTTATCCAAACTCGGGGGATTTTGGGGTAGCTGATTATGAATCTAACATCAGATTCTCAAAATTCAAAATGTCAGTCACATTTTTGAAAAATTCTTCAGATTACCTATCCTATTAAGGGCTTTGACAAACTGCTATTTACTCTTGAGTTAAGATCAATTTCTTACCTTGTATTTTTACTATACCATAAACATGAGTAGGAGGGGTACTTTGTGAAGCCGGACTGATGCCAGAGTAATTATTATAATTATTATAATAAAGTTTGTAGTCCATCATAGCAAAAGTTTACACCTCCTGTGGTGTAAAAACGGACTTCAAATTCGTAATCAGCAGACAAAAATCTTGAAGGAACCATTTCGCCTGATTTTTTTTTAATATTATTATTTGATAATATTGCATGTTCTTTTTTTTGACATGGTCCGTTTTGACCCCCTGTATTTCCGATAGGGGGCATATGCTCATCTTGAAATTTTGCAGGGATCATTAAGTCATCATATGTTACCATTTGGAATAAAGTTTCAAAATTTTATGTACGAAAAAGGGGCATTTTTGGAATGGTGCTTGATGAGGCTCTTTAGTATACATACAAGGTGTAGCAAAAATATGGTACTCCTTTCATATTTTTGAGTAAGAATTAATTGTTCCAATAAGTTAAAGGACCATGATCAATTTTAGTCCCCGGGCCTTTTCTCTCTTATTCATCAATCAAAACATTTTTTAAACTGAAAAACTTTTAGGTAATATTGCAGAATAAGAAATTTTCTCGATTTTTAATATTTTCTACTCGAATAATTTTTTTCGTACATATTTTTGCACTAAAATGAATAATCAACGGGGAGACATTGAGAAAGTTGAGTAGTTTTTTGTTTTTTTTGAAGGGAACTTCATTTTTACGATACAGTTTTTTTCTGAAGTTTAAATCATTTTTATTATTTTACCAGTATTTAGAATAGATGAGGCAGTATGATGAAAGTATTTTACGGACAAAGTCGGGTGGGATCCGCAGTAGCGGCCCAGGTGACTGCGTAAGTTTTTTTCGTACTTCTGTCTAATTTAAGTATAATACGTAATTTACGTATTATACTTAAATTAGACAAAAGTACGTCCGAAAGTATTTTGTGGACAATCTCTTTTAAGTAATTTACGTAATTTAAGTATTATACTCAAAGTAGACAAAAGTAAGAAAAAAACCTTACTTATTTGAAGTTAAAATATTGATTTAAAGTTAAAATACTAATTTTGTAACTTAATATTTAATTGGAATTAAAATATAGGATTAGTGAAATATAAGATTTTCTTGATTTCATTTGAAGAAAGTTCACTTATTTTTACTAATAGACTTCTTTTAAAAATATTTTTTTGGACATCTAATAAGCTAATAAAAAATGTCAAATAACGAAAAATTTATTAATTTAAGTAATGACGACTATAAAATTATAATGACAGAAGGACTAATGTTAAATGATAATCAACAAGCCGCCTCGCTGCTGGCTTATAGAAAAACATGCTCGAACATTTTTTAACATATTTCAGGAACTACAAAAGATTTTTTAAGTTATCAAAATTTTAACCCAATCTTTAAGTTCTTAGCTTTAATTTTATTTTTTAAAACTTAAAAAATGTTTTGTAGTTCCTCAAATATATTTAAAAATGTTCGAGCTTGTTTTTCTACAACCGAGCAGCGAGGCGGCAAAAAGTGATGATTGACGACTGATTTGTAGAAAAACATGCTGTAAAAATGTCAACTTTTTCCATACATTATTCTAGATTATGCCGGAAGTCAAAAACATTAGTACGACAGTACGAAAATTGCATAATTTTTGCTTGAAATCTTTTCGGTTTTATAAATACAAAAAAAGAAGAATAAAATTTTTTTGATATACATTCAGAAGCACAATTTTATCAGCTTTCCAACTAGGGTCAGTCGGGGTAAATCCGAACGGGGGGTAAATCCGAACGCTAATTATTTCAGCTTAATTAAAATTTTTAAAAATAAGTTCGATATGAGAATTTTTACCTCAGATCCTCTTGAAGAGATTCTAAGTATTATCTCATTTTTTGTTTGTTAATTAGCAACAGCATAAACAAAGATAACAAGTATTGCAAAAAAGATTGAAAATCAAAGATGACACTCTTTCAGTATTTTGTCTCGTATTTGAAGAAAAAGAAGCTAAAAATTCATTTTATTATTTATAATTGTTTGTTATGAATACTAGAACAGAAACTATATTTGATTTTTGCCTTCTGTAAAATTTTATTAATAATATCAGACCGTTCGTATTTACCCAAGAAAATTGGAAAACTGGGGTAAATCCGAACGGTATTTTTAATAATTTTTTTTTACATCAAAGCCACACAAAATTGTTTTTATTTGATTACACTATTATTTTAACATTATAAAAGTACATAGAAAAAAGTTTTTCTTTCTATACGTATCCATGTTAGTAATTAATAAGCAGAAACTTAATCTCTGTTCTCTCGAAGGAGTGTTTCAATTTTTTTGCCAAATGGTTTGTTGAAAAAAGTTTTTCAGGATCTTAATAAAATTTGGTATTCTACGGTTTTTGGGGTCGCTAATTACCAATTTGAAGTCAGTTTTTCAAAATTCAAAATGGCGGACGAGAATTAAAAAATTCATTGGATTCGCTCGAAAATTGTTACTCGGGGGGTTTCAGGGTTAGCAAATTTGATCATTTTTAAAAATAAGTTTTAGGAAAGTACGCCATTTTGAATTTAAAAAATTTGACTTTTATTTTTGTATTTACATTCAATCACTCCAAAATACTTTCTGTAGCAAGTTTTGCAAAAATCCGTTATGATTTGATAAAGTTATTGAAGGTTTTAATTGTGTAATGCATTTTAATTTTTAACCTGTTTGATTTTTGTATTTATATATGATGCATTATTACATAATAGGTTTATTATCGTATTTTTTTTGAGTTTTTATATAAGTTTAACAATTGCAATACTTTAAATTTATTTTCCCTAAGATTTTTCTGAAATACAGTGGCGTTCGTATTTACCCCCATATTTTAGGAAAGTTGCAAAGTATCGAGGTAAATACGAACGCTAAGTTTCCTGCGAATGTAATTTATCAAAAAATTTTTCTACCCCATAAAATTGTTCTATGGAAGTAAAGTAACAACTTCATGCACCAGAATACCGGAAGTATTTTTTTTTTAAAGAAAAAACTTATGTTATTGTTGAAACTTACTAAAAGCGTTCGGATTTACCCCAGTTGACCCTATCTAAGTTAGAAGTCTCTTACTTTTTTCTAACTAGAAAAATCTTGCTTTAAAGTCAGCGCCGAATTTCCACTCCTCGAACGTTAATCGTACCGACAATTTCCGACGGTAGTGTATTTGACAGTCTTAATAAAGGATGTTTAAATGAGGATCAAAGAAAATACTTCATTAGATTATTTCCTTCTAAACCAAAAGTAATCTTTGCAGCAGTTCATCAACAACCAAATGGTATTGATTGTGGTCGTTATGCAATAGCTATTGCAACATTCATATATTTTAATGTTAAGCCAGATACGGTAGATTACATTCACTGCCAAATGAGACAGCATTTATATTCAATTTTAAGGAATAATCGTTTAATACATTTTCCATCAGTTATAATTGTTAATATTAGAAATGTAGTCGTTAAAATGATTGGGAAAGTCTATTTTATGATAGATCTAAAGAACTGCAATTAGGAAAATCAATTATTATAAAAGATAAACTGATGAAAAGTGAGATAATTAAGGAGAAGAAGACGCGTAATAAACGAAAACTTCCTGAAACAGAAATTAAAATAAAAAAACGTTAAGAAAAAAATTTATTGTGCAAAAGGAAAAAATTATCGTTGGAAAATGAGGAACAAAAAATGAACGTCTAATAAAAAAATTAACATTGAAAAAGAATAAGAAAAATAATAGGAGATTAAAAACGTTAGTAATTGCTATTAAAAATGTAGAAGATTTTAATGAAAATGAAGTTTCACAAAATTATTTAGGTTTGATGAATATTATGTGTGAATGGTGAAATGCGTTACATTTTTAGTGTGAAAGTTTGTCTGATAATAAATTAAGTACGTGTTGTTATAAAGGTCAAGTAAAGTTGTCTGAATTAACTCCATATCTAGATTATTTAAAAAATTTATTAAACGTTAATAATACAAAGGGTAAAAATTTTAGAGAAAATATTCGTTTATATAATAGCACATTTGCTTTGGCAAGTATGGGAGCGAAATTAGAGGTTCCTGAAGAAAATAGACCATATGTGTTTCGAATACATGGACAAGAGAATCATTGTATCATTGTTATCCTTACATCCAAATGAAAAAGAGAGACATAAATATGGTCAATTATATATAATTGACTCAGATGAAGCTGTACCAGAAAGATTGAGTGTTACATATAACAACAAATGTTTACCAAAATTATTGACAGAAATAGATATTTTACTTAGAGATATTAATCTGTTTACTAAAGCATTTAAAATGATGCGAGATTTTGAAATTGAAGAAAATGAACGAGTATAGTCTTTAAATGTAACTGTAAGAAATAGTGAAATGTGGATTAAACGTGATAGATTATAAAATCAGAATTTAACATTCCGCATTGTAATGAAGTAGCTATAATATTTGTTAGTAAAAATGGTGAACCACCTATGGAACGTGATATATGTATGCATCCAAAAGATTCAAAAAGTATTCCAATTTCCAGTCTTTTGTTAGTATCATTATTACTAAATAAAAAGAAAATTTAGTTTCAAAGTTTTCCGAAATTTTCTCATTTTAAAATTTTCCGAGTTTCCTATAATTTCCCTATATTTTTTAAGCTAAGAAATATGTTCTTTTTTACT